TTTTTATTTATTTACATTGACATTTACTAATTAAGAAATTCATTATTAAAAAAATAACTTTGGAATGAAATCTTACTCTAAAAAGAAATCTCACTGTTTTACAAAAGTAGTAAATTTTCACTCTTTAGAGTGAGATTCTCCAAAAAATTTAGAGAGTATGTAATAAAATAAATGGAAATAGAAGTAAACTTCTTTGGAGGAAACTTTGATAGGCGGATTTTTTGCGAGCGCTTCTCCCTCAAGGATTTTCTATTACAATATATTAAACTATCGTATCTTCTATGTTTTAGTGGTGTCGCGGTGTCTTGTGGGGAATGCAGCAGCAGTGGCACGAGCGATATCACAGAACCGGGCTCACCGTGCAGCACCAGCAGCGACGAGGGGGTAGCTGCGATACGCGGCACATCCGCCAGTCCGCTTCCGTCTCTGCCCAAGCTGGCGCCGTCATCGCAGCTCGGTACCAGGCCCCAGTGGCCCTGGACCCCGCCGTTGGCGGCGACCGCCTGCTCCACAACCGCGTTCAAAAGGTTGAGGGGCGAACCCGAGGCTGGCGCCCTTCCTCGCTCCGGCGCCGCCGATCCCACCTCCAGGGGAGCCGTCAAGGCAAACGGAAAGACTGCGGGCGGCCAGCACCACCACGAGTCCCAGGGCAAGATCACGGAGTACTTTAAGACGCAGATTAAGCCGCAACAACCGAAGGTTGATATCTATTTGAGATAGAGACGAATAACAAATGTGTCAGGAAAAAATACAAGTATTTTGATGTAAAAATAACTAAGATATTAAAAGCAAAAATTTTGATCAGAGAGATCTAGAGAGATCTTTTTGTAAAAAATGAGTTTTTTTCAGTTATCATAAATACCCAATTCACAATAGTTTTTTGTTTTGAAAGAAATGTAAGTTCTGTAAGGTTGACTTTGAATGACACAATGGTATCTATAATAGATAGTCTCTCAAACACAAAAGCATCAACAGATCTTGGAATCTAAGAAAGTTCTATGAGATTTTAAAACTTTTTAAATTTTAATTTCAAAAGTGCAAATAAATGGATGCTCGCATTTTCTTTAGTCTGAACTTCAGCTAAATTTTAATTTAAAGATTGCAGAAATATTTAAGATTATAGCGAAACTATACATTACATTAATATTCATCGTTTGTTTAGTGACTTTGATTTGCAATTCGTGAGAATTGCAGAAGTCAATTAAAGGAAAAGTAGCAAAAGAAAATATTTCTTCGATTAAAACCAATGTTACAACGGAAGTGTTGAAGATATCGACTGGCTTTGCTTCGCGCGAACACTTCAGATACATACTCATCTTATCAGCGAACACGCATTTATCGGATATTGAATTAGCCTTTTTTAACAAGCTCGCACGTATAGGTCTTTTCCAATAGGTTGATATTAATTCGCGGAAACTGTTCTCGTTCTATCGATTCTTCTATCGATCGACAATTTAACATGACGCGTTCTCGATAATTCGCGTTCACATTGCACCGTATTTAACGTTAAACGTATCTACGAGGCTAAATTAACATTAGACAAAGCAAATATCACTGTACATCGATACAAGAAATATGATAAATTATTTGTCATAATGCAGAGTTTTATGATAAGGGCTCAATGTTTTTGTCTAATATACGATTACTTCGATGTCGTTCTTATCGTGATCCACATAGTGACCTCGCTTCGGTAAAGAAGCATCGTTCTTTAATATTGAAATATTTATCAAAAAATATTGAGGGTACCTATATAAATATTTGAATAGTGTATATAATTAATAACTAGTACAACATTATTTAACAGTCACAAAAACTTGTTACTTTATTTTTGTAAACTGAATATGTAAATTTAAATTGAAATATTATTAGGCACTAAAATCTAGCTCAGACCGAGTAAAACATTTTTCTACTTATAATTAGTTCTATTATACGTCGGTCTAATATCATTTATTATTTTATTTTGATCTCTTTTGAAAAAAGTTGCATATTTTTTTTCAATTGTCTTCAACACAATAATTCTAATATAAGCTATCTTTGTTACATAAATAGTATTGAAATTTTTTGTTATGCTTATGTTAATAGATAAAGAAAACGAACGAAATGGTATTGGTAGCGAAGAGCTCAGAATTTCGAAGGCCTCCTATGGTGCAGAGGAATAAAGGCGGCCTCGCTAAGTACTTGGGGACCGTGTCGTCCAACACAAACCGCAGTACTGTGACCAACGAGCCCTGGGAAGTGAGAACACTGACGTCATCGTCGACGAAAAAGGTACCACTGGTCATTGTGCCAAGGGCCAATGGCAAGATAGACAAGAAGCTACCGAAGCCACTGCCAAGTCTGCCAATCTCGAACGACGTACTGAAAAATCTGCCTAAGATCTCATCCCTTAGGTATAAATATACGATTTATTTTTGCGGTATATCTTAAAGCAATAGTGCTGATTGATTAGTTAGTCAATTAACTAGCTAATTTTTGCTATTAAAGAGCGTATATTGAGAGTTTCTCAGGCAACATGTGTGTCTCAAAAAGCTGTATCAAAGGCGTATTTCAGACTTCAAAAATGAAATTTCTTAAAAACGTCTTCAAACATCTTTAAGACTTTCCGTGTAGCTGGATTTTTTAAATATTGCTGTTTTCATTCATTTTTAGTCAAAAGAAATGGGACACGGTAAGTAAAAGTTATTTCCTGATTAATGACTGTTTTTTTAATTTTTAATACAGATTAACTTCGGACGTAAGTATCAATTCAACCAAGGGCAGTTCTCCGCCCGCTACTGCCGCCCCGTCGCTATTAGGCGAACCGTTAGACTTCAAGGCAATCTTGACGAAACCGCACGTGAACGAGAACAATAATCTAACAAACAGCTGTGGAAGTATCCTGGGAGCGTTAAGATCGCAAAGCAGTCACGAATCCCCTATTTCGAGGTTGTCTTCGCCATCGAAGGAGGACAACAAGGATGAGGATGGTCAATCGGCGCCGATCGACGTTGATGAAGATGACGTTGATGAAGAGGACTCTTTAGGTAGCGAATCGAAACCGTCGCCTATTCTTTCGGCACCTACCACCATTCGATTTCCGGCACGAGCGCCCGAGAAAGATAGATCTCAAGCTACTGATAGCGGGATCTGTCGTTGGGATAAATGCGAAGCCAACTTTGAGTCAGTGGGTGGTCTTTTGGAGCATTTACAGGTACATAACACATAATTTTTTATCATAAATTTTTTATCTTTGCAGAAAATATTCGTTGATCAGATCCTCGTATTTCTTATTTGAAAAATTCAACTTATTAATATAAAATATAGTTTTTGTGTACAATTTATGTATTTTTTATAGGCTGCGCACATCAACACACAAACCGGCAGCGACAATTTCGTCTGTCAATGGCAGGGATGTAAGGTACAAGGTAGAACTTCTTGTTCTCGACGATGGTTGGAAAGACACGTTCTGTCTCACGGTGGCAATAAACCCTTTCGATGCATTGTCGATGGTTGCGGTTGCAGATTCAGTTCTCAGGTAACGCGCATGTTTTTCTCTTACAGCACTGCCTTTATATGCTGGTAACATTTAATAAAATATTATATTTAGAAACTAATCTATATATTCATTTGCAGACCGCCCTTGAGAGGCATGTAAATGGTCATTTCAATCAGCCGGAAACGAGCAACACTAACGGAAGACGTAGTTGCGAGAACGGTGGCAAACTCGTTAGGAGGAATGGCAAGAAGCTTAGATATAGGCGACAACCTTGGTCTGGTGAGTGTCGCTATTTTATGCTGTTTATAGATTTGTTTTTTTTCTCTTGAAAATGTTTTATAGATTGATAAAAAATGATACATATTAATATCATTGCAGCAAGACTTTTTGATTACTTTGACTCGGGAGTAATGGAGGGTCTTCAGCACAGGCTACTGGAATTAGCGACATCGAGGACACAGGGGCGACTAGCTGAAACGCCAGGAAACTCGATGGCACTAACTAGTCAAGTAAGTTATAATAAGCGCACTGTAATAATTATCGCACTGTGCAGTATCGTAATGTTCGCTGAGACTTACTTCGATAAAATTCCTCTTCTAGGTTTTAGCGAGGAGAGTCGAAATGGATGGAAAGACGAAGGTGTTATTGCGATGGTATCCTCAAGATATGTAAGTTTTCTTATTAAAAAATGAACTTTAACTGATTATACAGATATCTAAAAGACTGATGATTCTTATCGTTGTGTGCTTTTTATAGAGAACCGGATGAATGGGTATTAGAATCCGAAGTACAAAGCACAAAGCATGTAGGTATTCGCAAAGCAGCCGCTAGTAATCCGGAACAAGTGAGTTTGGCTCTCTATCCCGCGATAAGCGGTTGCACGCCGCCGACGGTGCGAGCGAAGCAGCGCCGAAAACCAGTAAAAAACTCGTGATAATGCCGGCTGATCGGCCGGATACCAGAACTGACCTAACTGATATCTCAACCTTCTTCGAAGTGAAGAAGAACAGAGTGCTGCCGTTGATATGAGCACGACACGGTCTATAACACTTCCTGGTCGGTGAAGACGAAGGCCACAACGATGCGACCTGAAATACCCGAACGTATCGAAAGAGACAAAGACCGCTTTAGAAGATAATTAATCTAAAGATAAATGACCAATATGACTCGAATTAAAAAAAGTAAGAATCGTCGAAGGAAATCGTGTAACAGATAAATTCAGGATGTAAGACAGTAGCGATAAGAACAAGGGATAGCAAATGGACGAACAAAGAAACGATCATCCGTCCTCCGTTTTGAGGACGAAAATATTGCTCAGCAATGAACATTGTCGTTATTTATCGATAGATACATCTACTAATGCGCTAGTTCTATGCGAATCCCTGCCACGAGTACCTCGCATAATTTGACGCTCGTCGGCTTCGGAAGCGCTAAGTCTGGGCCTCGAAAGTGCCTCACCGTGGATACGTTTTGCACCGTCTTCTACCGTGATCAAGATCCCAGGGACAAATGCGTGGTGAAAACGATAGTAATGGTAGACAAAGACAAAAAAAAAGAAAGCAACAAAGAGGAGCTTTTGCGTATTTGGTTTTGCCAAAGGAAACAGAAGTCGTGCACAGACAAAATATTTAAGCGGTAGTTAACAATTTATAAAAAGATAATCACTCTGGTGGCCTTAGGATTCAATTAATATCTAACATCGGCCCCTTGGCACTTCCGGGAACTGAGTATCTTGGCGATCTCCGACGATGTTTTGAAAGAAGAGAGAAGAGAAGGGAAAAGAAAAAAGAAGATGCTTCTACCTCGATTTACAACTCGGTAGAAACTCGCGTCGGCTGTCATCATATGATGACACGAAGAGAATCGAGAAGAAGAAACATGAGAGGACGGAGGAAGATCGTGGACAGCGCGAAGCGGACGCAGAAGACTGTATCGGGAATGTATGAGAGAAAATCGGAGAAGGGTATTTAGATTGTTAGGTGAGAATTCGAATGAGTACGAATGAAAATATGTATGTATGAGAGAGAGAGACTGAGTAATAATGCTCCGAATTCGCCGTTATTTCCCTGAATAGGGTGACAGTTTCCCAGGCTAGGAACCTCGGCATGAAATTGAAAGATTGCGGAGTAATCGGACGATACGTACGCCACCGAGATTTCTATCGAGGATTATTTCTCTTCGTTCTTTCGTAGAAGTAGAACGGAGAGGCGATGTACAAAACAAAATTAAGAAAAAAAGAGTGATTCTCAAGGCCCGAGGCATGCCCGAGCTTTTGAAAAAGAGATGTATGGCATCGAGTTTGCCTCGTTTCCGCGCCCGAGATGTGTTCGATTTCTTGTGTACTTCATCATTCGCGTTATTTTTATCTTTCTGCTGAGTCTCGTGTAGCATGTTGGCATACACTCGTCGCATTAAAGAGCGCAAAATTTAATCAAGTGTCAAGATGAAAAGAAACGAGAGTAAGTAAACATGTTGCGCAACCACAATCGATGAGCTGTTACCCTCAAAAGGGGTAAATTACGTACGTAGGCTGTGTTACATTTCCCACGGACTTGTTAAGAATGGGTTGAACAAAGAGCGCGACGTGCGTCATATTGTTGCTCTCGCAATTCATGTACGTGACTTCGCAAAAAGAGAAATAAATTTTGCGACCACGCAAGCTTCTCGCGGATGATCGTAGAGCAACGCCGCGCACGTGTGCATGCATAGCGAATAGAACTTCATGTAAATTAAAGCTCGCGAAGGAGAAGAATATGTGTCGTATCGTATGAATGTATTGAACGAGTGAGAGTTGATCGAAAAATAGACGAGAGATTGACGAGAAAATCAGAATGGATGAGCTGATTGAATATGTATGAGAGATCGAGTGGCTGAAAAGAAATGGAGACCGTATGAGACACACAGACAAAGACGGAACGTCATTACACACCAGCTAAGAAACACTGCCAATATAATTGTAATTAAGAACTTTACGACATTAATTAATTATTCTTACTATTATTGTAAAGTACGATTGTAAAACCCCAGACATAATACGAATAGCAACAGCGATAGAAATAACACCATTCAATTTAGAAACTGTGTATTCTGGAGTATCTGATTTCTGAAAGATTGAAATCGTGGTATTCCTATCGCTATCACTATTCCCTCGCATTATGCCTGAGGCTTAAGTGTATAATCGAATAGATCTCTAGCTGACGCGCGAGAATATGTAGTAAGGAGGACATGTAATAAGAAGCGGCCGTTCCGATAATGCGTCGTTGTCACGTCCGTTCCACGATATTTTAATGATAAATACTTTTTCTCAAACTGCCCGCGTATGAGAGGGTGTTCCGTGCACGCGGCGTGCACGGCGCGTCGCGAACGCGTGGCCGCGAGTTGTAAATGTAAATACTTAGTTGAAATTATCGTAATGAAACGGCATATTACACGAATCCTATATTCGCAATCGTAGGTTTGCTACCCATCGCCACTAAAGCAAGCCACTTGCGAGCTATCTAAAAAAGTATATCTCTCTGTATCCATTGATTTTCGAGCACAGCGTTCCCGCGAGGGCGGCACGCATACGGCGGTGGATTTTTCCTTCCTTTTGAGGAAATCGAAAGATAAACACCGAACATAAACGCGTCACTGCCAGAATCACGCACTGCCAGCCCCGTCGTTCTAACGACGCGCCTCTAACGTAGTATCTCTCTCTATTACACGAGCATATATTCGTTCGTATCGTGCTTCTAAAAAACTCATCATCGGCTCTTTTCTCTTTATACGTACATACATACATTATACATACATACATACTCACACACATGGCCTAGCCGCAGCCACCGTTTTTGAATTTGTATATTCTTCGAGTATATATATCGTCGCTTCTAAAGAAAGATTCATTAACATAACATTTTGTGAATTTATTTATTAAAATTAAATTATAATTAAATTCAGTTTTTATGTTTGGACATTCGTAAATTCAAGGCAATTAATTATTCATACCTTGAAAGTATATCTAGAAGTTTATTCTTTTTCGAAGTAAATTCTGAAGTGAACAAGTAATGCAACAAGTTGATAAGAAACAAATATAAGTTGTTTTACTCCAAATTTATTACACTAATATATATCAATTCAGAACTTTCTTCGAAAAAGAACAAGCTTTATCTAAATGAAGAGATAATTTATTTTTAATTTTAAAAGATTAATTAGATTTATATAGTCTTCTTTAAGATCGGCGATATTCTCCTGGCGCTCATGTATCGCGCACTGCCAAATTTTCATTGAGCACATGATCTAAGGCACTGCCAGTGAGACATACAGAAGTGTAAAAAGAGATACCATAGGTTCTGCCGAGGAGTCCCGCATTTCAAATCGACCTGTATTTCATCGGGACTCCTCAATGCCATACGATGTCTCATGAACAATCTTCATGCGTTTTTGATTCCGTTTTTGGGCCGAAACACGATAAGATATAAAAATGAGAAACAAAGAAGCAAAAAAATAGGTACTATTAGAGTAATCTTAATGTATTAAAATTTATAAAAAACATAAAAATTCGGAATGTTACTTAAAAGACATTTGAAAGATAAAAACATCTTTGTTAGATTTTAAGCGTTTGTGCGTTTACTTTCAAAGTGAAATTCTATATTTAATTCTTACTCTTTTCTTTTTTATCTTCATTTTATATTTTATTGTGTTTCGATCATTCATCATATATTCGCCTAATTTTGTTCTTTTGTGGCGCGATTATCCCCTCTTTCCGATTGTTATTTTTGTCGTTTCATCCTATCAATTTTTTATCGCACAATCTCTGCTCATGTAAAATGAATTGTCAATCAAGATTATATCGATTAGGCAAGGGACCAATCTTTTATGTACGTGAAAACTTATCTGCCATTTCTGGCATAAATAATCGTTTTCATGGAATATGTCTTTCTTTGTAACCGACCAATTAGATCGATCGTATTTCAAGACTTTTTAGTTAATATGCAAACATTTAGGTTTAATTTATTAGAGAGAGAGAAAACGAACTGAGCAGAGATTCCTTTAATTATTAAGTTATTTTCTTTTTTATCATTTTCTTAATATTAGTGTAAAGATGAAACGATGGAAAGTACTTTCGGTTATTTAAATCGCGCTTGATCTCGTGGAATGGAAGAACTGCGACAAAGAATGAGAGAGAGAGAGAGAGAGAGAGAGAGAGAGAGAGAGAGAGAGAGAGAGAGAGA